GACAGTGAAGGGTGGGGTGGAATGAAAGTTGGGTTAATAGGTAGAATAATTTTGTCATTCACTTTAATAATCAGGGGTGAACAGGAAAACTGTAAACGTAATCCTTTCAAACATTTGATAACACCCTGAAAGGAAACGCACAGAAGAAGCAGGGTATGATTGGCAGCTAGCTACTGATCCAAATATTGCATGCTAAACGTTTTTTAGGCAGGCAAGGTTCTTTGGGTAGTTGTGATATCTCTTATTAGACCAACTGAATCTAATAAAAGTTTGCAAGAACTTTTTTCCAACTACTCAGTTGGTCTAATAAAAGATATTACATCTACCCAAAGAACTTTGCCTGCCTATGTCCTTAGACCAACACCTTGCTGCCATGGTGAGTTGTGCCCCCGCTGCTGCTGGGTGGGGAGGAGGTGCCTTACCTTGGCAGCCATGGTGGCACAGCTCTCCCTCCCGCACTGGGTCTGCCTGCTGGGCCATGGAGGCAGCTCCTGCCCACAGCTGGTCTGGCCCGGCTGCAGCCCTGCGCCATACTGTGGGTGCAGAAATCTGGGGGGGGGGCATGTGCCCCTTGTCCCCTGTTGCACAGCCTGTGTCCCCTGCCCCTCTGCCAAGTTGCCTGTGGCCCCCTCATCTCGTGGTCTGTGCCCCCCTGGCCCTTACTGTGTGGTCTGTGCCCCATAGACTTACCTGCAGGGAGCTGTGGGAGCTGCTCTCCACCTGGCTGCCACATTCATGTGTGTGCATGTGTACATGGTGCCCCCTGCCTCCAATTGCCCTTCCCTGCTCTGCATATAGCCCCTTGCAGCCTGGAACTCTGCCAGCCTGGAAGGGGAAACCCACAGTTTCCCACTTTTTTTCTCCTTTAAAGGGGAAAATCCATGTTTTTCTGCAGCAAACAGAAAACCTGGATCCCTGGTAATAACTTAAATCTTTTCACTTTCGTCTTCAGTAAAAATTGCTTCTCAGCTTCTTGTGGGCTAAGATCAAGTTCTTTCTTAAGTCCATTTGATACCTGATGCAATACAGGTTGGGAGGGGTACTGCTCTCAGAAGATATTTTAGGAAGTTCATTGTCTTCAAAGTATAAAATAACATACTCAGGTTAGCTTCTTTTTCTGACAGCGAATACTGCTTTAAATAGGTTAGGCCTGTGTTTTTATGTCTTTCTTCATACTGTTGTTCAGTTAGTCTCTTTTAGAATAAATATCCTTAAAGATATAATTCAGAACAGATGCTATAAATTGTTTTTTTTTCCCCCCTTTAGTAACTCCAATAGGTATCTTAAAACACTAGAGAGAATAATGCTAAAGCTACTTGGAAAGGTTGTGTAAATTCTTGACTCCAGGAAGAATATATAGATCACCTGACAGGTCAAGAAAAGATAAATTTCTGTTCTGTGGAAAGGTTCTATTGTTCCTCTAAATCCCCTATTCCAATAAAGTCTTTCACTGACCCAGGGGAAATGCAATATCCAGTCTCTGAAGTTACATGGAAATAATTTGAAATGATGGAATGACCCTATTAAGGCAATATTCGTTGAAGTAGCCGTAAGTCTACATACTGACACACCGTTTAAAAAACTGTTTTTCCTCAGAAGAGCTATTTAGTTTCACCTTAAAGATTATGATAAAGGGGATAATGTACTGCAGTGATATATATATATATTTTAAACTAACATACAATAACCCCTTTACCTCCAAAAGTCATTCTTTGGAACAGATGGATGAGGGTTATATCCTTCCTTGTGAGATGGGTATCTGGGCATACGACGGACTTTTATGCAATATGCAACTGGAAGGTATTTAAAAGCTGAGCAGAAAATGTATACTTATTTGCCACGTCATAGGCAGAAAATGATCCATGCACTGATCAGATTTATGCGACTTGAAGCATCAGGATTAGATTCTTCTCTGAATAGTGTAGTTTTGTCACCTGTTGAATACACCTAGAAGGGGTAGAAACTATCTTGCAGGGTAGAATGGTGCGCATTCTCCATTCATTTCACAGTCTTGTCTTGAGCTCGGGTGAGGTTCTTCCCTTTTGAGAAGCAACTGGGAATATTCTGGATACATAATATCACTTTTGTATTCACTAGTGCTCATTCTGCTGCTCTGAGGGTACATAGTTGTATAGGGATGGGACTCAGATTTTAAACAGGAAGTAAGTATCCAGTTTATCCAAAGCTCCCCTTGCACAGAACCCTTGCGTAACAACCAGCTTGTTCCCTTTTCTATACTTTTAAGGCTTGCAGTTTATCCTATAGGCATTTTTAGGACTTGGGTAAGGAAATTCCTTTGTGGTAGGAATAAAGAATCTAAAGTCATTACCAAGTGATTAACAAAGCCAAACCAGCAGAGTGGATCTAGCGCATCATCTCTTTCCTTCTCTCCTGTGAGTTTGCTCTCATCTAGAGTGGCTGGAAACCTCTTAAAATGTAGCTCTTTCACTTTTGGTCAGTGTTAGCTGTTCTGATACATTTACAGCCAGAAGTGCCTTTTCTGAATTTCCTTTTCTATTGTTTCTTGATAGTAAAAATGTAACAGGGTTATAAGGTTTGAGCAGTGTTAGCTTGGTAATAGCTCTTCTCACATGAATGCCTCCCCAGGAGATGCAAAGTAGAGGGCAAATTCAGGTTTTTTTCTTTTCATTTTGCTTTCACTATCTTTCTTTTCTGTAGACCTTTCCTTAAACCTCAAAATGAATAACTGAATAAAATGTGATCTTAAATCTATTTAAATTGGACATTCTTTAATTTTTGTAGTCTGAGTCAGGCCTTCTGTAAGATTTTTACTGGTAAGAGGAAAGATTTTGTTTAGTTGCTTGAGGCTGACTTGTGCTCTCTCTTCCTATCTCCATCTATCCATCACTCTGTATGTATGTATGTATGTGTTATGTGTATTTTTGTATATAGGTAGGTAAGTAGGTAGATATTTGTAGCTTTCTGCCTTCTTGGTGAAAGGTGAAACTCTAGTTATCTCTTTTTCAAAGCTAAAAAAAATCTGCCAAACATTTTTTTATATGGAGATAAGAGATGTTTTTGGCTAACCAAGAGGGGTTCTAGACTTTACCATATAAATGAGGTAGTTTGCTCCTTTCTGTGTTGTTTAGCCTCATTAATTCATTTTTGCCCCCAAATATTAGTTTAAAAAAGCCAAAACATTTTTATGGAATACCATTTGTATGAAAGATGCTATAATTAATGAAGTTGAATTGTTTTCAGTTGCTCTTGTGCTTGTATGAATGAAATCAGAGAACAGAAGAGCCATATTGGACACTAATTCACAGCATAACAGAGTTCCTGGCAAATATTAGTTAGATTTAAAAAAAAGAAAAATTAGAAATTTTAGAACTTATTAACCTGATCCAAACAAAGAAGACTTAAAAGCTCTGAAGACTGTCTGAGAGGTAAAATGATGCATTTTTAATGCACGCTTTTGAATTTTGGGTTTTCCTCCATTCACCCCACTCTGTGCTTGAGACTACTGTGTGTGAACAGCATTTTGCCTGCTTCATGGAGTTTTCTTCCCTTTCCCTGCTTGGAAGCAGTTTCAGGATGGCTCCCTGGAGAGTCACTAATGAAGCATGCATGTGTTGTTGCAGTTTAGTGATTTAAGCAGGCTGATTTTTGCCTATTAATGCTGGTCTGGTGATTTTTCTTAAGCATACATTTGTATAGGAAGTAAAGAGTTAAAAACAGGGCTGTGAAAGGCTTTGGCAACCTAGAGGGAGCTAGCAAGCTCCAGCAGTGACTCATTCTGCTTGTGTCAGTCAGATAAGCATCAGCATCTGTCATGAATGTAGGCAGGTAGGGTTAAACTCAGAGCATGCACAGAGTGAGGAGCAGGGAGCCTGCACTGCAGGGGCTGTAATGTTTGTTCCTGGTTCTTCAATTCTCATCAGCCCTTCAGCTACAGGAGATCTATACTGGATCCATGGTAACGGTTTTAGCACACTGCACTTCCATCAGCTTGTAACAATGAGCCATGTTCGAGTTGCTGACTGAAGAGCTGTCTCCTTCACAGAGCAAAAGAGAGCTTAGTAGATTTTCAGTGAGTTTTGGACCCGAGTGATGAAATGTTTAAAAAAAAAAAATTCCTGGGAGGGAACATGATTTAATAAGGTAGGAATTGCACAGCAGGCTTTTACATTCATTCTTTTCACTCACATAGCCAAACCAGCAGGGAACTGGGGTGCCGTACATCATTTAAAAGAACTTTTGTTTCTTTGGCTTAATTAAATTGCAGCAAAGGTTAGAAAATGGGCTGAAATTAAACAACTGCAAGTTAAGCTGTCACCAATTTAGAAATTAGAGTAAGAAATTATAATTCCTGCCAGTGAAATCTTTATTCAAAGGTGATTGTATCGGAGCCAGACTGCAGTGGTGTCCCACCAAGAGTTCCAAATCCCTAGTAAACTATCTTGGGGAATAATCCTTATTTCTTTTTCTCCCCTTTTCAAGAGCTGTTCAAATTTATCAGCTACAGCTTGTTGAAATCTTCCAGGAACAAGACCAATTTATTGGTAACAGGACCAGAAATCAGTACTGGGAGTGCTTTAGATAGTGAGGATGGGCAAAAATGATCTGTTAGCTGGCCAGCAAGGTAGCAGACTATATTCTGATGTAATATTGTATTCCACTAATTGGGCACATTTAGAGACATCTTTCTTGTTCTAGAAAGATCAGGAACAAATGACCTTTAAATATAGTAGGTATTTTTATGCTGCTTCCTTTTGGTCTTAGTTAACATACCTGTGTTAAAAAGAAAACCAGTTTAACCAGCATGGGAGACATTCTGCCTGCAGAATGGTAGCCATGTTGGTAGCTGAGGGGTTAATCTCTTGTTGCTGTAATACGATTTGAGAGCAGCAGCTCAGTCTGCTTGTGTTAGCAAGATTAAAAGCAGGAGCTGCAGTGCCATTGCAAGCACTGGATGAGTGGGACCGTTGCAGAGCTAACTGTAGCTGAATTTTGTCTTTTCTCCTTGCTTTTTTCACCAGCTCCTCCCCCCTTCGTTCCTACCCTCAAGTCTGATGATGACACCTCAAATTTTGATGAACCAGAGAAGAATTCGCGGGTTTTATCCTCTCCGCGCCAGTTGAACCCAGCAGGTTTTTCTGGTGAAGATTTGCCATTTGTAGGGTTTTCATTTATCAAGACACTGGGGATCCTCAGGTCAGAGTAAGTAGAGGTTACTGTTTAAGTGAAAAGGATTGGTAGAAGAAAATCAGCGTTTGTAGCAGGTTGGGGGAGGTGGTGGAAAGCAGCTCTGAACTGGCCTCCACTCTGCTTTAGGAAAGCTGTCGACTTGAAGCTTTATCTGTTGCTGCTGTGATTGTACATCTGATACTGGTCTCTGAGTCTGAAAATGAATTTTCTAAAATCGTGATTTGGTTACTTTCTTTTAGTTAGGGCTGCTGTTGTCTGGAAGGGAGTGGGTGGCTTGATTTCTGGTATTGCAGATCTTTGGAATAGGACTTTTGAGATTGAAGTGGGGGTGTGTTTTATTGGGTCGTGGGGGGGGGGGGGGGGGAGGAGAGGTAGGGAGGGTGAGGCTGGGTCAGTGATCCACAGATAGAGCTCCAGTAATCTGGGAACATGTGGTGATGGGCCAGTGAACCAGAGATTGAGCTTCACTGAGCTGGCAGGATGTACTGCTAGGTCAAGTTAAATGCTAAGCCTGGGCATTGCTGTATTAGTATATTATGGGGTCAGAGATCTGCATGAACTGTGCTGGGCATGAGCATGTGATGAGATAAAAAGCTCTAGAAAAAATACCTTTATTTAGGAAGAAAAGATTTTGTAATGGAAGAAAAGATTTTGTAATGAAAACTGAGACAGGGAGAGGAAGAATAGCATAGTGCAAACCCTTTGACATGATGGGTGCATGGCTTCTGGTATTAGAATGAATGAGAAAGCATTAGTGCAGCACATCAATTTGAGAAGTCCTTACATCAGTACCTTGAGGCTTTAGCTGATTGGGTGACTCAACATACTAAGGTATTATATTTTAATGTCAACCATTGTCTTTCATTGCTGCTAATTAGCCCCCACTGGGAATTAAAACTGACAATATGTCTTAATCAAGTTATAATGTCTCTGTCATGTTGGTTGTGCTACTAAAAGTACTAGAACTAAATCTTGTGGTATTTTGGCATCCCTGATCTTTCCAGTGTTGTGAATCAAGGTTATATGATAGCTAGGCCAGTAATAAGGGAACCACTGACTGTCCTTCCAGTAGGTGTTGCCTTCAGGGTAAAGGATGGAGAAGAGGAAGGCATAATAACAATTGAAAGAAGGAATGTAATCTATCGGGGTGTTATCTAACATTATCAACAGAAGGACTTTTGGGGAGGTACATGGTAAATAACATCTGTGGGGTTAAAATCTTTCTCGAATTGTGATGTTGATCTATCCCTACATAGACTTCCATGTGACAGAACCAGAATGTCATTCATGTAACCGTCAGTAGAGGCCCAATACTGGATTTATGTATATTGGTAGAGGTGTGTGTGTGTGTTGGAGCCCCAGTACGAAAAGAGAGCATTTGAGGTTAAATCTCAGGTGCATTGGCGTATCTCTGGTGTTTAAAGGCTCAGTTTAACATAGGTGCTGCAGGTCAATGCAGGTCTGTTTTCTCAATGATCTTTTGGATAGTAGGTGGTACATCTGACAGATAAACATGTCTGCTGGTGTTTAATTTTGGGTTTTAGTAGTAGAATAGTAAGGGTTCAGCTGAAGTGGGCCAAAATTTAATATGTGATGGGGGAATTATGATGGCTGAAGTCATGTTGCATTGTCTCTTGTATTCTCGTTTCTCTCATGTTGGAATACAAAAACAATGTCTTATTAAGATTATTTTGGAGAAAAATTAAGTGTAAGAAGATTCTGTTTTAGGACATACCCTCCATAATTTCAAACAGGTTTTTTATAAATTAATTTTAGGCTTTGCATTGGCAGCATGCTCTTGCTTTTTATTTAAGGAGGGGCTATTAAATATGAGGACTGTATGAAGACTCCATTATGTCATTTATTTCAACTAGCACAGTAGCTAGTGAGCTCCCTCTATCCTGTTGCTGGTGCCTGAAGTAAGCATGACTTCTTATTTATGATGAAGTGCCTACTCTGCTTTATAGAGCAAATAAGATATATTACCTGCCCCAAGGCATTTAACAGCCTAATTCCAGACAGTAAATGAGCGAGAACAATAGATAGTTACAGAAGCAAAACTTAAAAAAGCTTGTGTCCTTGTTAGTCTTAAGTTGGATGCTTTCTTTGGCAACTATGATGTCCTAACTCATTGTTGAAGAATTTCAGGTTTTATTTACCCCCCCCCCCCCCCCCCC